TTCCTCCCATTTCCTTCTTTCCTCCCATTTCCTTCCTTTCCTCCCTCCCATTTCCTTCCTTTCCTCCCTCCCATTTCCTTCCTCCCATTTCCTTCCTTCCTTCTCTTCCTTCCTCCTTCCTTCCTCCTATTTCCTTCCTTTCCTCCCTCCCATTTCCTTCCTCCCTTTCCTTCCTCCCATTTCCTTCCTTTCCTCCCTCCCTCCCATTTCTTTCTTTCCTTTCCTTCTTTCCTCCCTCCCATTTCCTTCCTTCCTTTCCTTCTTTCCTCCCTCCCATTTCCTTCCTTCCTTTCCTTCTTTCCTCCCATTTCCTTCTTTCCTCCCATTTCCTTCCTTTCCTCCCTCCCATTTCCTTCCTTCCTTTCCTTCTTTCCTCCCTCCCATTTCCTTCCTTCCTTTCCTTTCCTCCCTCCCAACCAGTTTTTCAAGAAACAAACAAGCAACCAGTCCAGTTGCTTGCTTTGGAAAAAGCCCCTTAGGGACAACCGTGTCCTGGATGATGGAGAATTTACTCAAATTGACATTTGATTCAAAGGAGAATTTTTTTAGCCTAGAAGAGAGAAAGAGAAGGTGATCACTCGAAGCCTGAGAGGGTGAGAAAGAAATCCGAGTTTTCAGATCTCCATTTCGCCCAGATCCCCGAACCGTGGGCGGGGTAAGGCTTGGCCAAGCACGGGCATTGGTTGCCCGTACAAACTGGCTCTTTGTAAAAGAATTGGGCCTCGGGGAAAGGAGGACATTTGTGCAGCTGGACGGTGTCAAATCTCCACTTTTATTTTTTCTGCATGCAAACAAAACCCTTGAACAACAACAACAAAAAAAGCCTCTTTGTGTTGGAAATGTGTTTCCCGAGGCCGCTTTGGCACAGCCGGCCACCCACGGCTGCTGTCCCGGACAAAGCATTCTCGCGCCTGGACTCCGGTGCTTCCCTGCCGGGGGAAGGGAAAGGGAAAGGGGCAGGTTGGATGCGGCTCACTTGCTGGTTTTGGGTGCCGGTTCTCTCACCAAATTCAGGAGTTTGTCCAGTTTTGCGATCTCCACTTCGGGCCCTTTCTGGACCTCTTGTCCCTTTTTCTCCTGCAACGAGAGAAACGCAAAGTTGTCACCATCTCATTTCCCCGTTTGCAAAGAACAACGTTGGGACGATTGTGCAAAGCGGGCGTTATAGAGCGTTGTGTGCGTGTGTGATGACCCAAAGGGGCGTGGCACAAAGGCAACACAGTCAGATAAGCAGGAAGAGTCCCTTTATTATCTCCAATTTTGCCCCCAATGTCCAGGTTACCTTCTGGCTGGAGAAATACTCTCCTAGGAACAGCCTTTGGTTGCAGAGAATTAAGTCCAAAACAAGGGACACACAAACTGTAACTTAAAGTCCAAACAAACCAAACTGAAGTAATTAGCTTGACAGGGCAGGAGAAGGAATTGCAGGGTTGAAAGCACGGCAAAACTCACACAGTTGGGAAGACACCAGGAACACAGATAAGCCACGGCAACACAGGATAAAGTCACATTTGCTCCCAGAAGCCTGCCTTTCTTATCGACAGTCTTCCCAGGTGTGGCTATTGAAGGGAATCAGGGCCCTTTCCTCCCTCGTAAGCCATGCAACCCACGTTGCTTTCCGTTCCTCCCTGCATGCCCTAGGATGAAGAAGGGGTGGACCTGGGTCTTCCTCTGAACTCCCTCTCCCTTGTTCTACCTCTCCCCTGCTCTGCCTAGCCGGACTGTGCCCTTCCCCAGTTTCCTCCAGAGCCAACGGAGCCATGCTCCCATTGTCAGCTGTCTGGCTTCCTCCTCGGATTCAGACTCCAACAGGGGCATGACAGCGTGTGTGTTGTGCCTGTGTGTATGTTGTTTGATGGTGGTGGGTCTTAAAAGGAGGTACCCCCAACGAGGAGGACAGGACTGAGTTTGTTAAACCTGGTTCACTTGGCTAGGGAATTAACTCTGTGGATCAGTTTGTGCAGGACTGCCGAGTGATGAATCGGGCTAGGATGTCTGCAACCTTAAACATCAAAGAGCCATTTGGACCCATTTCCCACAGAAAACACCGGGAGCCTCAAAACCTGGGTGGGCGTGGCCAACTCAATGTCACTCCCACCCAGTCACATGACCCACTCACCTCCCACAATGCCTACGCAGGTTTTGTGGGTCCCGGTGTTTTCTGTGGGAAATGGGCCTCTCTCTTTCTCTCTCCCTCCCTCTCTCTTTCCCTCCCTCCGTCTCTCTCTCCCTCCCTCTTTCCCTCCTTCCCTCCCTCCCTCCCTCTTTCTCCCTCTCTCTTTCTTTCTCTCTTTCTCCCTCTCCCTCCCTCCCTCCCTCCCTCTCATTTCGGTTTTTTGTATTTTACCTTCTCAGGCCAGGCGAGGAGTGACTGGGAGGGGAGGGGCCAGCCAGTGGTAGGATCACCCAACAGGGAGCCACAGCAGAGGGTCCAAAGAGCCTCATGCAGCTCTAGAGCCACAAGTTGCTGACACCTGGGCTAGGATGACCCAATCGGTGAAACCGCAATAAAAAAAAGGACACAAGAAATGACAGCCAGAATGATTCTCCAACTTCTGGGAATAACAATAGCCACACATCTAACAACAACCACAACCACAGCCACGCACTGCCATGAATTACCCAGGACCAAAGACAAAGAGACAGAAGGATGAAAAGAAGCAATGTAATTTACAAAATCCACTGTAACCATTGAAACCGATTTCATGTCGACTGAAAACCGGGATCCACAAACAACGGTTGGCAGTCAAAAGCCATGACCCCCCAAATCCTTAATCCAGAGGTCTCCAAGCTTGGCAACTTTAAGACTTGGGGACTTCAACTCCCAGAATTCTCCAGCCAGCACAATTTTTTGCTTCGTTCTGTTTTTACAAACGGGAAGCCGAAACCTGAGCCCGGGCCAGAGGATTGCTGGCGTTGTGCTCCTCCAAATTGCAACGCTCACAAAACCACACATGTCCTACACATGACCGCTGAGACAACGGCGCTTTGTTTGTGTCGTCTGGGGTGACTCGTGAGCCACCATCCCCAGGCTGGGAGGAGGTCCGAGCCTCCTTGAAGCTCTTTGAGCTTGGTTGTTTTCTTGTAGACGTTTCATGAGCCAACTAGGGAACATCATCAGTGCTAGAAGGGAGTGGGGCTTTGCTCTCTAGGGCAAGCCACTTGTATATAAAAAGTAAAATCTGAAAGCTTGGAAGTGAAAACCGCTGGTGCTGGTGACTGACCCAGATTGGATCCTGCAATGTTGCTCTGGGCCACGTAGATTCGTCTTCATAAATAGTAAACCCCACCCTGTTCTAGCACTGAAGATGTACTACATCTAGAAGGGAGAGGAGGAGGAAGAGGAGGAGGAGGAGGAGGAAGACTGTGGGGTCCTTGGTGCTCTCTGGGCTTGCAGATGTTTTGCGAACTAACTGGGTAACATCAATGCTAGAAGGAAGGGGGTCTTGTGAGGAGGAGGAGGAAGAGGAGGAGGAGGACTGTGGGGTCTTTGGTGCTCTCTGGGCTTGGTAGTTTTCTTGCATGTGAAGAACAATAGCAGGATTTGGGTTTGGCCAGTCTAGAGATAAGAAGGACCAAGTGGGGGGACATCATAGCAGTATTCCAATATTTGAGGGGCTGCCCCCCAAAAGAAGGGGGGTCCATTTATTTTTCAAAGCACCACAAAGCACGACAAGAAACGACGGATGGAAACTCATCTAGGAGAGAAGCAACCTCGAATTAAGGAGAAATTTCCTAACGGTGAGGACAATTAACCAGTGGAACAGCCTCCCACCAGAAGTTGTGGGTGCTTCTTCATCACTGGAGCTTTTTAGGAAAAGACTGGACACCCACCTGTCTGAAATGGTACTCTAGGGTCTCCTGCTTGAGCAGGGGGTTGGACTAGAAGACCTCCAAGGTCCCTTCCAACTCTAGTCTGATGGATTGCTGGAAACTAAGAAGTCTTCCTTCCGCTGAGCTGCATTCCTTACTTCCGGCATGTCTCCATACCACGACCTCCCCTTCCTCTTCTTCCTCCCTCCCTCCCTCCTTCCCTTCCTTCCATACCAAGGGTCAGTTTTCAAAATTCAAAAGCTGGAAACTGGACTCAGCAATATCTGAGAGAGGAGTGTAATTCTTCTGTTTTCCCATCCTTTTTTCTTTTTCTTTTTTTTCCCATTTCCATAACGGACCATCCAGGGCAGCCTATTCTGAGAACGTGCTACTCTTGATGACCAGAGCATGCAATTTCATGCCACATCCCTAGTTGGGTCATGAAATGTTTGCAAGAAAAGCTCGGAGCCCACAGTTCCACCCTGAGTTACAAACACTCTCTTCTCCCACTGAACGTATCATACGATGATCTTTGCCCTTGCAGACCCCTGTAGCTTCGGCACACACACACACCCTCCACATCTCACAACGTCTCCCGCCCTGGCCACAGATGGCAAGTCACAGGATGCGGCCGGCTGAACCGGAACCGCAGCCGTTTGGGCCCATTTGCCAGCCAGCGGGAGAGCCTGGGCATCTGCGCAGGGTGATTAGCGCAAGCTGCTCAATTAATGCGCCAGATATCAAAGGCCGGGTGACTTTGGGCTCCCCCCTTCCTTCCCCCTTGGCCCTTGGCCTCCCGGGCTTGGCACCAATGGCAGGTCCTCACCAGCGCCTACTCGAGAGGAGAGGAAGGCTAGTGGCTGTGACCCAGGCTCGTTGTGGCTTCTTCTGCAATCATCCAAACTCGATTGTAGAAAGTGTGACTTCAGCGTGGTCAAGGCCTGGAATGCACTACTTGACTCTGTTGTTACATCCTCCAACCCCCCCATTCCTTTAACCTCAAACTATCCACTATTGACCTCACCCCTTTCCTAAGAGGTCTGTAGGGGGCGTGCATAAGGGCACCATCGTGCCTCCCGTCCCTGTCCTATTGTCCCCATTTAATCGTACCTATTTCCTGTATTCCTACTCATGTTTATTCTCATTCCTATTATCTTGTAAGTGATTGACAAATCAAGTAAATAAATAAAAATAAAGGAAGGAAAGAAGGAAGGGGGAAGGAGGGAGAACAGGGAAGGTGAAGGAAGGAACGAAGGAAGGAGAGGAAAGAATAGAGGCAGGAAAGAAAAGAAGGGAGGGAGCGGGAGGAAGGAAGGAAGGAAGGAAGGAAGGAAGGAAGGAAGGAAGGGAGGAAGGAAAGGAAAGGAAAGGAAAGGAAAGGAAAGGAAAGAAGGAAAGG